ACTTTAAAACACCCTCGTGACATGGAACCACGGACATGTGCAAGGCGCATTCCAGATTACCTGCCTTATGCTTCAGATTACATTTGCCATGAGCGAAAAATGGCGCTACCGCAATATAGGGAGGCACTGATAAAAATGCACTGGAAACCGCGTGTAACGTGTCTTTTCTGTTAGAAACAAGCCTCTTATCTAAGACTTAGTCCTAGAGTATGCCCCGTGCACTGCGATAGCGCCCGAAAATTGCTCTGGAGGAATCCGAATGTACAAATAGGGTCCAAAAAATAGGAAGTTGGAGCGATGATGCATAAGGATTTACTTCACGACACTCAAATGGGAAGTTTCCTGAAAGTGAAGTTCTTAAACAGGCAACTCTCCAGAACATGCTTATATGTTTTCCTACCAGGACCAACTTTCGCCGACTCTCATTCCCTAACGAGATGCACCACTCATTCTGCATCCTTTCAGAAACGTAGTGGCATTTGACTGCGAAATGGCCTATACATTAATTACTCACAGCTGCCGGACGATATATGTACAAATCAGCATTTCGACTTTCCTAAACGAACTCTGGTGGTACCAATTGCCCGACCCTTGGATATAACTGAGGCTTAGCCTGTATTGGAGAACCCAAATCTCAGAACACAACGAATTTTCACAATAAATAATCTTCGTTAATTTAGATGACTCAAAAACTGAGAGTTTGCAAAAAAAGTGCAAGAAATTTTCTGGAAAATAGTCATGCGAACAGCTCCTTTTGCGGAAAGAACTTCGACGGAGAGGGTCTGTTCTGAACAGCCACAGAAGGCAACCCCTCATTGTCGTGATGTAGCTTGGTCAGAGGCGGAGCCAACGAGGAGCGGAAAACGATAACGCTTCTGCTATTAACAGAATTTATTTGTAGACAACTCAATTATTTTATCAGGAAAATATTTTATTCAAATGCCGTGATTGCTAGGAAGCAGAGCAATGTCTTCTCCTCCCACATATGAACTGATATGGTGCCTGCCATCAGTGGGAAGCCGTCCCACCAGTTTTCTTGTCCCTTGGATCAGCGGAAGAACGTTCTTTATTTGATCCTGAAAAAAAAAACTGTGTTTCAAATATGGTGAAACTTCACGGCCTCTATAATGTGGAGGGAATTAGTGAATAAATTAGTGAACAAGTCCTTCGTACTATCTTTACTGCGTATGGTCAAATGCAAACCGTTAGCTCCAATATTGGAAGCACTGCACACGACCAAGATATGTTGGGGCTTCCTCGAACTGCATCTATGGCGGGTGACCCTTCATCACATCTGTGACAGCGCGACAACTATGTGTGCCGCCTTTTCGGGCCATGTGGGACATCGCGGCAAATATGTATGCCGCGCTCACCCCACTCACTGTTCGGGTTGCGCCACTTATTTCCAAGCAGAAGTCTTTCAAGCCCTGGGGAAAGTAAGTTCAGTTAGCATTTCAATTACTTTTCGTTGTCCCAAACAGAGTAGTATACAAACCTATATGGATGGCTTGATATACGTTTTTACAGAAACCACACATCAAGATTACTTTTGACCTCCACCACACCAAAAGCAAGTAAGGATTGTTTTTTTTTATTGACATAATAAACTAGATTTGGTCGAATCCCCATGATTGTACCTCCGGTTAACTTTAGGACGTTGAATATTCAAAAATTATTTGTGCCATCCAGGTTTTGAACCCAAAAACAAGTCACGATTCCTCACGATTCCCTTTCCCTCTCCCCCGTACCCCTGCCCCGCCATCTTTCTTATTCCAGATGGGCCGACAAACGCCCATGTATAAAAATGTTAGCGGTAGAGATTGCGAAAATATTCGAATCTGCCTGAATTTCAAAATTTTTTCTCGCTTATTCAGAAAATTCCTCCAGAACAAAAAGTGCCAATACCACAAAAACGAGCCCTTACAGAGATTTGAAATGAGAACCCCGTCAACCTTGTACAGCAGATGATTGACTTTAGAAGGGAGACATCTCTGATTGGCATGCTATTAGGTACACACACCGGAACACACCGCCCACACTACCTCCGGCGCGAATCGCGCATGAAAAATGAATCCTCAAACAAGTTTAATTTTTCCTTGGAGAATTCTTAACATTCCATGGAAAACTCTCCGAACAAACCATTTTTAGTTTGTGGCGCTTTTCTCAGTTTTCGAAGCTTTGGAGTCCAACGGACAGTCCACGACCAAACGAAGAAGGCGAACTAGAAAGAGCTTTATTCTGAAACATTTGAAAACATTCATCACGATGCAAATAGAACTTGGTATCTGGCACGTCAATGAACATATCTAAATGAGCTGTAACCAACTGTTGCCTACCTCGATGGCCCAGCAGATCATCTTCAAGGCGAAAAGGATGACGACGATGTAAAAAAGGATTGTTTCACCGCTGCTGACTCCCACTGGGCAGTACGAAGTTTGTGTACCGCAGCGAACTGCTCCACTATCTTGCTGCCCAGATGGCTTCAGCCCATCGCCGCTGCTCTGCGTAGGTGCGGGGAAAGGTCTCCACCAACCGCTGCTGTCCTGCGTAGCAGATTCGGGGGAAGGTCCCCGCTGGTTATCGCCCTTTTTCCACTTGTTGTCGCTTTCACGTTCAGAATCGGGGAAATATGTCCACTCATTATTGCCATCCTTTGGGGAATTTCCGGGAGAAAGATGAGGTTTCTTTTTGTGTTTTGCTGGTTTAATAGTTAGCGAGTCCAAATTGCTTAGTGGTTTCACTGTGCTGGGAAGAATTCTTTTCCTGGACAGCGATGGAGGCGTACTATGAACCGGTGTCCCTTTCAGCCTTAGTGTTGGTGGGAGCACTGGGAAGGGGTGTACCTCGTAGCGGTGGCGTTGCTTTGGGCGCACTAGGAGTACTCTCGAGCCGTGGTGTTGGTTTGGGCGCACTAGGAAGGGGTGTACCCTCGAGCCGTAGTGTTGCTTTGGGCGCACTAGGAGTACTCTCGAGCCGTAGCTCTGGCTTTTTAGGAGCACTAGGAAGTGGTGTGCTCTCGAGCCGTAGCGCTGGCGTTTCGGGAGCGCTGGGAAATGGCGTGCCCTCGAGCCGCAGCGCTGGTTTTTCGGAAGCGCTGGAAAATGGTGTACCCTCGAGCCGTAGTGCTGGTGTAGACGCACTGGGAACTGGTGTACCCTCGAGCCTGAGTTGTGACCAGGGCGGCATAATGGCGACAGCCCTGAAATGTTAGATATACTGTAACAAGAAGACAACCCATTCAAGCATGGCTGTACTGCACGGCAAGAAATTGATCTCGCTGGGCTAAAAATTAGTGCTCGAAGACGAGGTGAGAAGGTGTCTGGGGTACTATCCATGCTTAGCGGCCCATTTGGGTTAGAATAAGTAGATAAGTCGTTGTCTAATACGTAGAATACTTTAACGAAATGAGCCAAAAAAGTGTCAAAGTAATTGTGGTCAATTCACTGTCGTATTCATCTCAGAAAGAGAGGTGAGAAAAGGATTGAGGAGGGACGATCATAGAAAAAAAGCGAGGAAGGGGCCTCTCAGAGAGTCTGGCCTACTTCCAGCCATTTTAGAAGCCACCTCACTAAAGAAATGGTCACCCTAATTGAATACTATTTTCGTCCGCGTGGAAAAAATTTGGACCCTTAGGAAACTTCTCTGGAATCTCTGCCGCCGTGGGAAAGAGACAGCTTATCGCTGCAAAATCACGTCAACTATGAGAAGTTGGGAGACCTCATCAGCTGTGCCTAAGTTCCAAGGACGTCCAGATCTCCTGGTAAGGCATAAGATGATCGATATTACTTTATAACTAGCAACATCTCACAAAATAGCATGAGGATGTGGTGGAGGGTCAGAGAGGGAGAGCTTGAAGAACTGACTAGCCATAGGTCGAGTCTCACTTATCACAGCAGCTTTCCTCCCTCTGCAAGGTCAGTGACATTTTTAAAACGTCAAGCGGATAGAGGTAATGTCTTTCATAGATCACATATACCTCGAATTAGCTAAGTGATTCCAAACACAAGTCCAGTGCACGGCTTAGTCTTGCTCAAGGTTTATTCGTCTTTCCCCTGTGTCTTTATTTCGCCAATCCCAACTCACTGATGAGCTCCGGGGATTGACGAAATAATAAGGTTCGTCTGAGGAAGGAGCGAAACGAACCATTTTAATTATTTTGTTTATAATGGTTTTTTCTTTCTTAATTGGAAGGCAATGAATTTAACATGAGCTACCCACACTTTCCTATACCTAGATGAAAGGTTACCTGAGTGAAAAAGGAATCGGATCTAAAGAGATGCTACCACAGGAGAAGGTGCCCGACCATCTCTTGTGGCAGATATTTGAAAAACTAACCCAACAAAGGGTAACTGTTTGTTCTAGACGAGGAGAATACTAATAACGGACAAGAATAGCATTTCTATATATGCTGAACCTCACGTGCGAATACAAGGAAACAAATTCTCACTCACGGAATACGAGAAACGGTCACCCTGATTAAACATTTTTGTTCACGTGGAAAAAATTCGAACGTCACGAGAAAAATCCCGGAATTCGAGTGTAACTGAGAAGAATTGAAATTCCATGGCAAAAAAAACGGGGGAGTGGCCGTGGACCGCATTGAAAAATGGAAGGGCACGGTGGCCCAACGAGATTGCGAAAAAATGAGGCTGTAAGCAGCCTTTATCAAGTGGTCAAATGGTTCACCTTCTTAGGACCTGGAACAACCCCCAGGTGAAGGTCCTGGTCCGGGTTCGTCTCCCTCATATGCCTCTCCCGACGAAGGTTGTATAGCCCCTGAGCTCATGCAAAAATGTGGCTGTAAGCAACCTTCATCAAGTGGTCAAATGGTTCACCTTCTTAGGACTCGTCTCAGAGCAGCCCCAGAGCTCATAACTATTCAACTCGCAGCGAGTCATCATGCCAGATTAGGTCTTTAACAGCATGTTTTCATACACAAGTCGAAAGCTTGGCTCACTAGAATGGCTCCAGTGGTACCTACAAATTTTTTAGAAAGCCTTTCACAGTTACCTTTGCTTGAGCTATTATATCCGTGTGAGTCAGAATTGCAGGATCAACCAGAGCTGTACGAACGAAATTGCCGAGAACCCTCAGAAGCACAAGAAGACTGAGGGGCAGGGTGAATATCGGTCGAGGAAATCCTCGACAGGGGGGTCGTACCTGTTGGGCTGGTCCATGGGGGGTCGTACTCTTGGGGGTCAGTAACAGAAGTGGTATCATGGTGCAGATAGGTAATAGGGTATAGCGCAGCAGAAAATATGAAAACATCCGAAAAAAAAAACATGATACATTAAATTTTCTTGGAAATGGTTCTCATTCTGCCTCACATTGCCCTCACCTTCGTGAAAGGGGCGGTCCATTTGAAGGCTAGCTAGCAAAGACATGGAAAGGGCTTCCCCTCAAGTAGAAGGTGGCCAGCCATGTGCGCCACATCGTTCGTCCAAAAGAGGCCACCTCCTCCGCCTTCGCTCCGCTTCCTTCTCCCTAATACCGCGCTGGAGAGAAAAGCCGACTAGTTGTTAGGACCCTGCTCACAAAAAGCGACAACCTGAAAGAAAAGCCCTGGGCAAGATGAAGGCTCTTTATTTGTAGGTTAGAAAGACCCAAACAGCACATCACCCCCACTTATGTCTACTACAATGACAGCTTCTCGTTCGGAAGGTCCCCAATCATATAGACAGCGCTTTCAGTGCGATGGCTGCCAAACTAGTGAAAGTGGCATGTAGGGGAGGTAGCGGATGGCTGTATACAATACCAAGAGTCGGGATCCCAGTCGGTACGATTTGCTCCTATTCCCTTCATTGTTCGCGGTTTCAGACAGAATATGTCTAGACACCATTCCGAAGTGCCAAACGAGTCACACTTGGAATGGTAAAGGAGGGGAGCGGGATTATCCTCGGTTCGATCGAATCTGTCCTCTCGAAGATAGATCCTCGACGCAATTATCTCTTCAACCAAAAAGCTGTAGAAGAAAACTAAACAGACCATCAGGAAGCGCAAACCTTCCGCTTTCCAAAACTACCTTCCCTTTTTCAGGATCTTACAATATAAGAGATATATTGCTCTTGAAGTGACACTTCGCGGGGTGGGAAGAAGTTTCGGCGCTCCTGCGACATGGTACTCGGAGGCGAAAATTGAGCGAGACCCTTATCTTTGCTGCAAGAGGGGGGGGGCTTCGCAGAGCGGATTTGGGTCGGATCTGATTCGAAGCGGCGAAAGTGCCAGCTCTATCGGGGGGGGGGGGGCTAAACTCTACCTCAAGCTGCTTCAAAGGTTGTGAAATGGAGGAATGCAACCTTTTCATCGAGGGTGTAGATTCGGACGTTTTTTTTTGAAATTTCGGCAAATCTGACCCAGTGACAATCGCGCCGCAGCTGCCGTTGAATCGGCCTTTGATACACTCGGCTGTTTTGATATACTCAAGCAAGAATCAAGATTGAATCGCAACCCCGTGTCTTCAGGATTTCTGTGCGTTTCTGAACGAACCTCGCCTTGAGGTCACACAAAGTTAATGCCTCTTTCCTCGAGTCGATATTTCAGTATGTACACAAAAGTATGCAGCGATGGAAGACGTGCATAGATGACAAGATGAAGCGTCCTTAGCATTATTTTGCAGAATTTTTTTTGATTTGTTTTGCAGGATTTATTTTAATTGAATTAATTTGCTCTGTTAGAGGGGGTCGTGCCAGGATCTCGATTTCGGGGGGGGGGGGGTCGTACCTCTGCGACCACGTACTCGACACGATTTTCACCCTGGTCTGCAGTGTGCATCTAGGGATCCTCAGCAGTTCCTTTTGCTCCCTTCATTACAGATCAAAATCTCCTATTTCGGATGCAAATCAACCATCACATCGTGAAGGTTTCTGAAGATACAAAGCAGACCGTTCTCATTTTAGTCACAGCTCCTCTTCTTCGTCTTTTTCTTTGAAACCCATGGTCAACCCATAACCGAAAATCACAGTCAGCTAGAATGTTCATTTTACAGGTCTATATTCATCTCAAAATCCTCATATACAGAAAACTCTTTCGAATAAAAAAATCGAACAAGAATACAGCAAACGATCAGAGTAAAAAGAACACCTCATGGTTCAGTGACGCTTTGTCGCCATCTAAGCATCAAAATAATGTCAAAGTAAGAAAAGGAACACTTTATAGAACTTAACAGATTTTCATATTACATGCGCGAGGTAAGAGCACTTTTCACGAAAGCCTGAGAAAACATGCGAACAAGTGGAAATATGAGTGAAACATGGAAGGAATGCACAGGGTTTAATAATGAGATCCCACAAGATAGAAGTCAACATTGCGGAAACAATTCGGCGCATCAGAACACTTCACTGGTATGGCTGTCATCCGAGTTCGCCTGCACCTGAATGCCTCTATGTTGATCAAACGCTTTCGAATGTATGGTTCGTGTTGCTCCAAAGTACCAAAAATGGATTTCCCGGAGGGCAGCACGGATATTCGGAAACAGTAATGACTCCCAGAGTGGAAAAGTTGCGGTACTGAAGACATCAAAACTAAAATGGATGCCCCTGCCAACAAAATTCCCTGCCCTGAAACGATAAACCGTATTCTCCCACCTGGGGGCGGATTCAATCCTCCCCAAGAGGTTGGGGGACGAAAATCCTTTAAATTTATTTGTTTTTAACGATATAGTTTCTTCATTTTCAGTGCATGTTTACTTTGACCTACATACATACATTAAATGTAGGCCCTTTATCAGGACAATCCCAGTTGGGAAGACAGAGAAAATTTAAAGGGATTTTCGTCCCCAACCCCTTGGGGGAGGATTGAATCCGGCCCCTGATGGTCTCTCCTGTTTGTCCAACAACTACCCAACTTCAAGTGAGCTAATGCAATTTGGACTGGCGCTATCTTTTCCCTTCAGGGTGAAGTGGTGCAGTGGCAAGTGGCACGCTTACCACGCGAGCGGTCCGGGGATCAAATCCTGGGTCGTGAGTCGCCCGGGCCAACCAAGCCTTCCATCCCTCCGGGGTCGGTTAATTGGTACCAGACTTGTCTGGGAGGATAAAACACTGACTTGAACATCGGCTGGCCCCCGCAAGTCATTGTATAGGCCACATCGCATTCAAATGCCACTACGAATTCTGAAATGGAAGTAGAATGCGTGGCCGCGTTTCCAAAAAGGGATTGATCACCGTCGGATACTCAATTTTTCATCCTTTTTCAAGTGAAGGAATGCAAACAAACAATTAATAAAGGAAGAAGCAATACCTCTTCAGCGCCCTGTTCCGCTTCCGAACTTGAACATGAGCTGGAGCAACTGCGTTCATCTTCAGAGTACACGATTTCTTCTCCCTGAAAATGGCACCTTTGCTGAAATTGCGACCACAAAGGATTCAGAAAAAGCTCACATTTATATTTCGTGGCTTGAGAAGGCCGATTTCGAAGGCGTCTTGACAGTTAATACCAACAAGTTTTGACTGAATCGCTCTCATCCATTGCTCAGTCGTAACACGAAAATCTGGCACGAGTTTCAGAAGAATATTCGATCGATTAGCCTGAAATTTGGGTTTCAAAGCCACTGTTCTATTCCTACAACACAGCGCATAAACGGACACTCCCCTAATACAACAAAAAACCAACGATTTTAGGAGGTCTGTGCAAAATATAGAGTGATTATGATGTGTATAGTACACATACTACAAGGATCGCACGGGTATAACACAAGGGGTGCTCGCAATGGCAAAACCAACCCCAACCTCTAATTTTAAGGAGCACGAGAGGCCTGTACGATGGTTTGTGTGTGTTGTGTGTGTGATGCGTAGCGCAAAAGCGGAATGTGTTGTGTTGTAGTGCGTAGGAGGGGCGTTTTCTGGCCAGTTGGCTAAACCGAAAAACCGATGATTAGTATGGCCAACTGAGCCGCTCCGAATAAGTCGCGCAAACGCATAAGCGGCCCCAGCGGGAATGGTCCGAATTGCAGAGATTAGCGTTATTTGTCAGTGTGATTGTCCGGAGTGCCCCGCCTGTCTAGGTGAATTGACTATGCCAGAAAATCATGAATGACTCGTCGACGATAGGGTCCTTTATTGGTGTCTGTAAGTGCCCAAGCACTGTACCCTTTATGAATGACAAGGCATTATTCAGACGACGTGGACGTTATATCTCAGTTCCTGTTGGAAGCTATTTTCGCAAGATTCTCCACCTCAGAAAGTTTCCAACGAAAAAGGGAGTGGGAACCGGCGTCAACTGCAGCTTATATTTGTTCGCTAAGTACAGAATCAGGTGACACGAAAAAAGTCATCACTATCGTTCCGTTTTATCCCCTTAAGACCACTCAGTCCAGTCCAGATGAGAGAACTATACTACTCTTACCTAAAGAATGACATGAGGGCTAAGGGGTTGTCTGTCGTCAGAAGCTAATCACTCAGCACTTCAAAAGATTAAACACGTCGTTTTACTTGTTATCGTGCAAACGAACTTCTCGTCCTCAAAAGCTTTATGTAAGTCAAAAGCCCACCAAAAATCGCGGTTATCGCCGTACGAATGTCACTCAGCTGACCTTTTCAGAGCAATTACCCTTTACGCCCATCTCAAATAATACAGAAACAGCGATTTAAGAATATTTACCTTAGCATGAACACAGATATTCTGGAAATTTCGATTTCCGATCTGTATTGACTTGATGATTTCGACAACATTATCAGCGACACTAGCCAGTCGACTTTTGTCTTCGAGCAGATACATGAACGAGCTGCTGAAAATACCGCTCACTTAGACTGCATGTGAGTTTGTACAGACTCTTTGCATCTACAAAGTAAATCAACCGCACAATCCATCTTCCATGCTCCGTGGGGGAGGAGAAAAGCACCATTTATACCTTTTTCGGGAGTTGCGACCCAATTTTAAACGAAGAAAATTGGTTCTAACAACAAAAACACTACAGATATACTAATTCAAGCAAGAAACCATTTCCACTAAAAGGGTAGAGTATAAAACATTGCAATGTATGCATAATCACTTCAGAGTGAATTAGGCTCGTCAGCCTCACTAGACTAGGGCTGAGGCGGTAAATAATTAAGGCCTTCAGTTGAACTCAGGTGCACAAACGCGGCACAGACGTCAGCAACCATCCCATAAACATGCTTGCAAACTCGCGCTTCTCCACCGAACATAGAGAACATTCGACAAAGACTAACTTCTTATTGCACATTAACGCCAGGAAGCGTCGTCCTTCCTTGATTGCCGTGACCAAAAGCGACGTACTCCTCAGCTCTCGCACACGAAGCATCAAACCGAACAGCGCTACACATCCAGCCGCAATGGACCACGTGCGTAAATACTGCAAAACTCACCACAATTAGAACGCAACACCTCGGAGTAAGATTCCTACCTCTTGCACAACCGCTCGCCGAATTATACAACCATTCGAGGGTATGATTTCAGTTGTTGTCAAGGCGTCATTCATTGCGATAAATAGTACTTTATAAATAGTACCGAAAGTGGCCCTGGACGTACAACGTATACTGTGGAGCACAGAAATAATTGAAAAAAAATCATTTCAACCTTACCGAGTGAAACATGCGAAGGCTTGGTTTGTATATCGTTCATTGAGATCTTGATCCTCAGAATCTTGCTCATAATGCTTACTTTTGCGCCTCTCCTCATGAGGGACCTGAGTAGCAGTGTTCGTGAAATGAACGTGGAAGCTTTTTTCAGCAAAAATTGATAGGGTTTCCTATCTCCAGATAGCTTCTTCTACTTAGGAATGAATAAACGCAAGGAACTAGATAAGCAAAAACCTTTAATTGTCATCAGCGCCTAGGCAAATTTTGGCTTATTCCTACGCGGCTGTACTTAGGTATCAGAATACAAGAAGGTCAGTATAGATTGTACTTCTCCCATGCACGCCTGCACTGTACCTTTACATACAGGTATGGTGCAACTCAGACACCTACAAAAGACGGGAGACTGCTGCGCCCGATGACATGTGGTTCTGATTGGTAGCTGCAGCTCTCCAAGAAAGGTCTTTTTGGTGGACAGGATGCACCTGATGCTATCACCATCCAATTTGATGAATATGCTATTTTTTGCGATAGAACGACCAAACGACTGCGTTTACAACCTAGAGACAGCTCCATAAGTATAATGGGTGAAATGCAGTTCGTCTCACGGACATGACTTCCATTTCTGCAGAAGCGACCTTTCCTAGATCATAAGGACATGCAAAACTTGGAAGTCCACCATTAGATTGCTCAGTTGCAAAAAATGGCGGCCATATAGAGCCAAACAACGGCACGTACCCAGTCAGTCAAGTTCTTCTTCGCAAGGATCCATTTATCGGCACATATGCGGTAAGTTCACTGGCCGAAGACGAAGATAGTGACTAAAAAAAAAAACGCAAAAGTTTACACACTGCATGGCAGGAACGATCGCGGAACCAACCTCAGCATCTTCCTGACAGCCGATGTCAAAGTTGCTCCTTTTAAAGGTTTCCCCTCCTTATCCAGCCACTCCTTTTTCAAGAAACCCAGCGCATGTCGAGCTTAAGCAAGCATCATATTGAGATTTTAAGAAATACCCAAACAAAAATTTCTATACGCAAGGGAATCTTTCATTTGCGTTTCTATTCGTTAAACAAAACCGGGTTCGGGAAGTACCCAAATTTGAACGAAGACATACAGAGACACGTCAGTTAAGAATTGATGCTCAACCAACCCATTCCATTGCTTAGCTCTTCGGACGGCGAGCGAATCACTGATATGCAGTCAAGTACCGCTATGGCCACATTGACATTTGGCACATGATCACATATTTCGACCAAATATCCATACAAGCTAGACTCCGCTTCACTTCCCGCGTTTCTCTGCAATCGAAGACCAATTGCGGAATCAGAAGATCAAGAATCACAGCACTGATACCTCGCCATCCTCCTGCATCATGCAGTGTTCAATAGTTTCCATGAATTTATCACGACGACTCTTCTTCCTTGCTGTCACCGCGTCGGAATCGCTCGGTAATGAGGTGACGTGATTCCTCAAGTGATGACAGGAAATTGTCTTCGTTCACTTTTGGTGCATTCACGGTCGGTCGTCCAATCGCAACGATTGTAACGGTCGCACAGCATTAGATACGTATTGATCGCCGGACGTGTCGGACGATCGGACGACCGAGTACCCATCCCCTAATGCTGCGCGATCGCTGCGACCATTATATTGGACGACCGACTATGAATGCGCCCTTTGGTTTTTCGTTGAATACGAAATAATTTCTGACACAGTTGTATCTTACTTCTGGGCAACAGCAAGAATTGAAAATACTAGGCTAGATGACAAGTTTCTGCTTTTGTTTGTGGCAGCGTGTGACCAGACGGCCAAAACGTGTAAGCGAAAAACAGGTCGTGTGGTCCCTTGGGTACCACGCTGGTCTCCACGCGGCCTCGTCATTATTCGCGTCCTACGATCTGTAGGCTGCCGTCAAATGGCGTAAATTGAAGAAAAAAAAACGATCTGCAAAGCGGTAAGTGAATCGTTACCACGAAACAGATGCTCCAACGTTTTGCCAAACATAGTTGAAACAGATTAGCAAGCTGGTCAACAATCTAAACGCATGATTAGTGTGTATAACCGAATAATAAACTGAACGAGGCATCAGAAGGATACTTACATGCAAGACTCGGCTTTTACTGAAATCTAATGAAAATTCATGAGATCACGGAAGTACGACACCGTCTTTGAGAGTGTACTCCAAAGTACTGGCAGCAACTGAATGGAAGAAACTCATAACAAAGCAGTATACAACGAAAAAGTCTAATGTGGACGTGAACAATGCCTCAAGAGAGATATGCGTTTTCAACAGCTAGGCAAGTATGCCCTGGTAATATTCGATTCCTCATTGCGAATCCCATATGGTACAGAACATCAATCGTCCACAATTCCCCACCCACCCAATTAGCGCTCGCTTCTTCCAGCGTCACGTCGTCTCGCGTGTTTCCATGTGTTTTTCAAAAGGTCGCTTCTTTCAGAAAGGTTTCCTCTTGACCACAAACACTACCCCGACTATTTACAAGCTTGGTCAGATGCCGCAACGGAATTATCTGGAACAGCTCCTAGCCATCTAATGACAACTGATTGGCGCTTGATTGACCTCGGAATTCAGGCAGCTTGGTGATAACCCCTCCGATAAACAATCTCTCACCCAGTAGTGGAATTTCGGAAAATTTTGCAGTATGAAATCCACCTTCTTCCGCTGTAAATTTTTATGAGCAAATGCATTTCCCACTCATCAGCCTTCTTATGCGCTTTCGCCGCATACTGCTTGTTAAACTCACATAAATGCCATGTGCGCTAACTCCTAATTTCAAACGCCCATGTTGCAAACCCTTTCAAAAAATCAAAGAAAGAGAATAGAAATCGAGCAACGACCCACTGAATGATAACGTAGACTTTGCGATTCACTGAAAATCGACGGTCCAGATCACCATGAATGGCTCTACACGAGGTGTCTCCCCTAAATGCAGAAATCCAAGTTTCAGGTAAAAAAAATCGTTAAGAAACATAAATTATCTGCTAAATTAGTCATCATGAATACTCTCAATAGCCAATCCCTCCTCCAAAGATGGAACTCCGAACAAAATGCGTCATTCATAGGGCTAGAATCTAGGCGAAAACTGTATAAAATCCTCCATAAAACCTCACCTTTGCCCATGGTAACGATTTCTTTCCTACTCTCGGGCAAGCTTGCGCGAGAATTTCCAGGAGATGTTCGATCAGAAAAATTGTTGCGCGTCGCTTTCCTTGCATCAACTAAATCAGAAAATCAGGGAAAAGCTCTATTGGAACAACAGTTGACAATTGTCAAAGAAAGAATGTGACAGTGAGCAATGACTATGTATACGTCGTATTTCGTAAATGTAAAGTCGACGCTTCCTTAACGGCAAATAACCCCGCTCTACGACCTCTGCGTCAAACAATCACCGCAGAAACTGTCTAGAGCAATTTTCATTTTCATACCATTCCCTTAACATTTTTCTTTCACCTAAATAAATCATCCATTCTGAGCAGAAACGCAGATTTTCCGTATACATATCATCCAGAGCTCTTTGAATCTTATCTTTAGACACCCACAAACCTTCAATGATTTCACCACTGCAGACAGCTTCATTGTTTTCATACATGTCACCATTTTAGCTAAAGTGACATTCTTTCCAGAACTGCTGAAAAAAGACATGATTTTTATGTTGCAAGAGCACAACAATGGGATTCCACTTACCTCTTCGAATCACACTCCTTTGATGGTGCCACCTGTGTTGGAAGCGGAACACCCTGAAATTGAAAAATAAGCGCGTGTGCACAGATGTGCTGTCAGCAACAATCGTTTGAGACGGCTTTCAGGTTATTAGCGCTTCCAATGGCGTCGTGGTCTCACCATCAAAAGTCTGAGTTATCCTCTGATCAGGCTGTGTGGACGATTAGTTTTAAAAAGCATTCTTGGTGCATTCTTCTTGGCATTCGTGGTTTGCGGACCATGACTCTATCACTACGCGCACATGTTGCTGCATTAAAAAAAGAAACAAAGGGAAAAACGTCCCTAGAGTAAAATACTAAGCACCACCCAGCTGCCTTTACCTCAGTGGCTTCCGTTTCTTCAGCTGGCGCGGGACGTTTCCTTTTCGGGGCTTTCTTCGGTGGCTTCTTTTTTACCTCCGTTGCCACAACTGTGATCCGCGACAATGGAGTCCGATCAGGAAATGACCACTCGCCAAGCGCTAAACACTTCACAGTATACACAAGGTTTCATGGCTTTTTTATTTGATTGTTACACATTAAGCTGAGGAATTGGGCTTCTTGACAACAAACTCACCCTTCACTTTGCTGATGAGCTGTTTTTGGCATTCGAACAACAGTAGGAACTTCTTCGTCCACAACTCATCTATAGTGTTGCTGCTTGCATTTGCGCAAGCCTCTTCGTCTGCGAAAACATTGAACAACTGAAGTAGATTTCCATAAGAAAATTAATCAATTATTTATGCGCAAACTGACATTCCGTATTATGATGCTGTAGTAGTCAATAATAAATAGAATGAAGTATTTGGGTAGAAGTATGTAGAAGCGCTAGCACATGTAGTGCGTAGGTCAAATTTCGCATTAGATCCCGACAAAGAAAACCCAGGTTTCCCTTTCAGTTCTAGATTTTAGGTTCGTTCTAGTGTCAACTTACTGGTCAGATGCGCATGAGAATTTTTGGCTGCGATTTTGAATGCTCTGCAGAGCAACGGATTGATAAGCAAAATGGGATTTCTTTCGGTGCTTCGAATAGCTGCAATTGCTAGGAAGAAATATAGAACAAATTAGCGGAAGAAAGCTGTGTTGGCTACCACACATAACGGTTGCCAATATCAGAGCATAATGAGGCAATTAATGAGATTATTGATGAGAAACTCAAACGCGGAACTCAAGTAGAACGTATGCTTGCCAGTATGAGCAAGGCAATGCTCATTAATTTGCATACGAATCCGTGCATCAAAGAGCCGCACACACTGAGTGTAATTTGATTTGAGAAATGCTCAAATACGGTAAGATGCACCTGAAACACGAGTAACATTTTATGTTCATTGTGAATTCGGTCCGAAATAAAGGAGTATGCGAAAAAAAAAAAACGTTGAATAAGAGAGGCAGCAACCGGAGGAAATGCATGAATCTCTCAGTTTTTCACAAAAAGTGAGAGTTCCTGCTAGTGAAGTATTCACTTTCAAGATTCCGATATCAATAATTGAGTAGACAAGCGAAATGATAAAAACAAGTCGCTTATTATGAATCCACGAAAGGAAAAACAATACAGAACATGAACCATGGAAGCGTCAAAAATCAAAAGACTTTGGTTGGTGAGAGAGGCTTAATTTGGTTCGGAGACGAAGTACCTAGCCAGCTGTCATGATCGCTTCATGTCCGCATCAAGTTTACTCGGATTTCGGTATATATGTACAACGAAAAGCCGGGTAAAGCGGTAAAATAAAATGACGATATCTGTTCGTATTTTCTCTTATCTATTTAGCTCCTATGTTGAGAAAAACTATATGCGGTCAAGACAAAAAGTAAGACTGCTAGGAATGAGGAAGGAACTCCGGCAAGGCTGAGCCAATTACAGTATGCCAAAGGTTTGAGTGTGCAAAATCAGTCGCCATGAACTGTTGTTTCAGTCGAGAGCATCAAATTGAGGAGCTTTAGAAGATGAGTTCAAGTAGCCCGTACACCAAGAAATAGCCTGTAACTTACTGTTCGTATCCATTGAATAGTCCGGTACAGAGCATCGCATGACTCCTTCGATTCCCCTTCGACTCCTTCCATACTTATGTTGGCATCTGAAAGCAAGACAAGACTACGTCTAGAAATGAACAGATTTATGATCTTCATTCTAGGGGAGAAATTGAAGACTTTTGCCTTGGATCTGGGAGTTCCAGATAAGGCTTATTCTTCAAATAACATGAGGAGCATTCATTAAGTCGCTACTGCTTCACCATGACTTGACAAACTCCTCACAAAAACTTCAGCCTAGCCTACTTCAAAAAGGCATAACCATGGAACATTTCGACAATTATTGAAAATTCTCCGCACTCAGTGCATAAAAGATACGCGTCCATCGATCTCGCTGAGTTGCCTCCTGTGTGTCAGCATGTGGCCAAGTCTCCTGCAGACGGATCGCCTCCTGAACATGATGCAAAAAATTTGTTGAGAATAAAAAACAGAAATTGAGAATTACCATGACAGCCTCTAATAGCGGCACGGCCTCGCCTAGATTTTGACCGGCCGCACACTTCAACCATAGATTTGTGTCAGAATTGATGTAACGTTCACTTTCCAACTCTCTGAATGCAATATAATATGAGTTGAAGGTGTTTCGGAAATAGCATAATAAATTCCAAAAAAAGCAAACGTTAAAGGAAAATGGGTAAAAGAAAATGCAGATTCACCTAGACGGTTCATACGAATCCGTGAAGAAATCCGAACGAAACTCTTCGATGAACACCGTCAGCCACTGGTTCTGAACCACAAAATCTTGAATACCAACACAAAAAAAGAAAAACATCAGTCCCAGCGAGGTTTT